TTTTTAATGGTGGACTCAGCCGTCTTCAACATGTTTAATAATCCTGGAAGATCAGTTTCCATATTATGCATGTTGTAGTTAACGACAAAGTTATCGAATGACGCTGGCAGAGATTGCAACAATAAATCCACATAGAGTTCATTATCCATAATGACTCCAAGTGATTCGAGTCTTTCCACAAGAGCTATCATCTTCAGTCCATGATCATGAACTGAAGAGCCCTCGGTCATACGACACCTGAAAAGCTCTTTAGATATCTGATATCTAATTTGTCGCGTCCGATCACCATACAACTCTTGCAGGTGAGTTAGGATTTCAGAAGCATTATTCAGTAATTCGTTCTGTCTCTGTAGCTCATTAGACATTGATGCTAGCATGTAGCACCGAGCTTGGAGATTGTCATCAACATGACGCAAGTAGGCTCCATACTCTTCAGCAGTCTGATCCTCCGGTGGAGGAGGAGGAGCTGTTTCCAAAACATACTCTCGCTTCTCAGACTGAAGAACAATCTTTAGGTTCCTCAACCAATCATTGAAGTTGGGACCAGTTAATTTATTATGATCAAGGATACTCGCGATTGGATTCTTAGCCATTTTAGTAGTTTGATCTACAAAAATAACAAACGAAGCAGAAAATAATTAGACTATGGAATTTATATTCATTTAATATTAGGTCTTTAACATTAAATGTCTCCCACTAATTTAATTAGAACCTCATTATAATTATGAAAATCATTATTTTCATAGTGGGCTTGAAGTCCAATAAAAATATTTCATGTCCCAATTTTATGATGCCACCATGAAACAATTTTATCGGTAGTCAACTTTTTGACAATTGTATCTCTATACAACCTTCAAGATGTTTTGCCTCACCTTTCCTTATATACCTCAATTTTATGACTCCATATATATTACTCGGTGTCAAATCAAACCCATCAAAACTTTCATGATAACGGCCCACCAGAGTGTCCCACGACTCATGGCCAACACAAAGAGGAATCCGTCTCACGAATATCAATATATTTAATAGAGTTCACAGCTTTCGACATAGAATCATCCCACGACTCGTGGCCAATGATAAAACATCGTAGCATCTCATGTCATCTACTTTTGATGGAAGGCCTGGATTAATAAGTTCCAACTTATTTTTATCCATTATTGATTTGATATGGAATTAATCAAATTAATCCGTTTGGGTTCCTTGATCTCATCGATTACCATCTTTACGTTTATTTACCAGTTTCAGTCATCTAATGAAACGAAAGCGTAAATAAACCTAACATACATCTAATGCATGGTGGGATGATCATGTCCTTTCCTATTCGATCCATTCGAGCCAAAATGGATCTATGCATATGTACGTGATAAAACAAATAGTAGAACTACTTCTATTACATTTATTCTATCTACCCGTACAAGCACAGGCCTTCGAGATTACAACTTGTAAAATTACCCACACATGCGTGGGCCTTTGTCATCGAACGGTCTCCACCTTGATCTAATCTCTAACGATACAAAATTTAAAATTTTACAAATTTCATCTCAAGAGACTCGCAGGTCTCGATAAATTACATTTCTTCAATCATATTGAAAACATAATTAAACATCCATTCATTCATTCAATCATATTGAAAATGAAAACATCCATTCAAACATAATGAATATGAGGCTCATGATCATCCCTAAAACATTCATCTAATGAAATGAACATAAAATATCAATTTATGAGTCACACGACTCGTGTGAGGGTCACACGACCCGTGTGATCTTATCACACGACTCGTGTGAAAAATACGAATTGAAAATCAAAATTTTTCCCAGACTCACACGACTCGTGTGGCTCGTCACACGACTCGTGTGAGCTCACACGACTCGTGTGACAAGGTCACACGACTCGTGTGAAAATCACGAAGCTAAAATCAAAATTTTTCTTCATGCCACACGACTCGTGTGACAAGGTCACACGACTCGTGTGGCTTAAAAACGATTTTTAATTTTATAATTAATATTTTTATCATATAAAAAATTAATTATATTGCTTATCTCATAAGTCTTAACAAATCAAAATCTGTTTTAAAGACGATAACCGTGGCTCTGATACCACTGTTGGGTTCGATAGTACCGTACGGGCTGTACGCAGCGGAATTTAAAATTTTTAAAGTAAGTATTTATCGTATAAATACAACACCCGTACATACTAATTGCGAATTAACTGATCGTCATCTTTAAAACATGCATCATATACAAATTTTGATTTGTTACTATAAAGTAAATACTAGTAAAAATATTTACCGAATGTCTTGAACTCCTTCACTATTGATGATGGATGAGGGAATCGGTTCCCGGTTGTAACTTCAACGACTTGAGGTTACTCGCTAGAGGAATCCAAGTGTCTTCCCTCTAAACGTATCCACCCTATGAAGCCCGGTTCCGACGACTTTCCTTCGCTAGTAGAAAAGACTCGGTTTTCTTGTATAGGAATATTTATGAATTTTATTTGGGAATTTTAAGAACTCTTTCTTGAAGTTTTATGAAGAACACTTTCTTCTCTTTCTAACACTTAGAAATTTAGGATCAAAAACTTCACTTAAATGCAAAACCATTTTGCACATATTTATACTAAACATTTTAGCATAAAATAATCAACATTTAGTAATATTAAATAAAATCAAATTTTATTTAAATAGTATTTACTAACTTTTGACTTTGAAAATAATAAGATATGTTAAGTAGTTCAAACAACCATCAACAACCATTTTATTATAATCATATTTATTATTTTAATCCTTAAATCATATTTAAAGATATAAATAATAATTGGATAATAAATCTTGAGAATCTTTCTCAAGACTTTATTATTATATCATTTTCCCAATATTATAATAATCATATTATTATTATTTTGGATTTTTGAAATTTAAAATCCTATTTTAAAATTCAACTTTATTAATTTAGTAATTACCTTAATTACTAAAGTAATATCCAAAATGTAATTAATCAATCTTATTGATTAATATATTCCTTTAATTGATATCTAATCAAATTAGATATTTATCAATTAATTCTAACCATTAGAAATACAATCTTTACCTTTGTTCATAATTAGTGTGACCTTTTAGGTTCACCTTAATACTAGTAGTGGGTTTACAACACTTTGTAATTTGAGTTAAATCTTATTAACTCTTATTCATGAATTAACCCTTTAATTTATGAACCCACATATCATGGTAACACCTAGCAAGTAGCATGAATCTAGTATTAAGTGAATAGCGAGTAAACCTATTCCGATTACAACTCCATACATGTAAAATCCTTTCGACATCTAATTTCCCGATTAAGTCTTGGGTATGATTTTGTCGAAACCCAAATTGACTTAATAACTATGATTCTATTTCATGTTTATTAACCCGGTTATGAATCACTATTCATCTCTGCCTTGGCCAAGGACTTTGGATTAATAACTATGAAACACATAGGAAATTCACTTATCTTCATAAGTGTCGAATCCTTTATTGGCCACTAACAAACTTCCATACATATTAACATAATACCCAACTTATCCCTTTAAACGATAGTGCTAGCTACCAAAAGGATAAATCAAAGTAGAATGTAATATGCACAAAGTTACCATTGTGCCTCAAGTCTTAGGATTAGTCATGTACTATTGTAACATGAAAATTCTTATTCGACTGAATAAATTCTTCATTAAGAATTTTCATACGGTCATGTTCAGTGAACTTGTTCTCTAACAAGCACCCACATAAATGTACTTACGTCTTACGCTAATGTTGATGGAATGCAACATTCTTGTCCAACAAGCATACAAACTATGTGCAAGTCTTTTATGGATTATTCGATATCCCATCTCGAAACATCCATCGACTTGGAACTGTATTTAAGATCACGGCTTTCAAGGTATGTTCCATGATCACCATCTCTATGCGCAACCATACCTTATAACCATAAGTGATCTAGGGATTTTATCTTAAGTGCAATTATAAGATAAATGCTTTCTCTTAAGATAAAGAAATGCCTTATTCATAATATAATTCCAATAGACTGTATTTACAAGTAGAATACGTCCAATTAGATTGGAACGCCGGGTACCCTACTCTAACAGGGGGCCTCTCTGTTGATGACCGACTTGGTTTCATGAGGTTAGAGCTAAAGACTAATCGCCTCATTTAATTAATAGTCCCTCAAAAATAGCTGAACTTAGCTCAAGTCGGTACCAGTTAAATACATTGATTACCGACTTCCAGCTGACTGAAAAGTAGAACCGACAACTTATCAGAAGCCAACAACCGACTTCACCGACATTATGATTATGTCCATTAAAAATTATCCGTTCTTTCATCCAACATCCGAGGGGATCGAATTTCCAAGCAAGAGGTGCTGAACATATTTAATTGGACCAACAAAACAAAAAACAATCATTGATGTTCCCTCATTCTATTACACACCGTTTTATTGAAGCTGCTCAACATTAAATGCAATCTTATCTACCACGGACAAAAAAGACAAAAACTACCGTACTATAAATAACAGAATTTATAGTTGCACAAGGATCTTCTTCTTCTTTCGCACATTGTACACGGACTTGAAATGATCTCGGTCAAGAACAAAAAACCAACTTCCTGTACTCTTGCGATATCATCAATAAAATACAATTATCTTTTTATTTCTGTTTAAACACACCTAGCTGTATATAATTTTAAGTTGTTAATAACATACAACAACAATTCCTTTGATAAACGAGTCGAACTCGAGCTTACTTAAAGCTCATTTCGCTAACGAGTCAGGCTCGGCCCGATTTAATAAGGCTCGTCAGCTTAAAGTGACCTCGAGCTCGCTCAAGTCGTTTACCGCTCTAACCAGAAAAAAATAACATCACAAACATCACTTCATTTTTTTTCCTCAAATCCCATCACTTCAATTTTTTTTTCTTTTTTTTTTAAATCTTTCTAACATCGCCATAAAAAACTTGACAAAAAAAAGTAGCTAATTAGTAAAAGACACTGTTCTTCTCCTCAAACTCCTACTCCCAACCTTCATATTCACCATAACACCATCATCATCATCATCATCTTCATCTTTATAATCCAATTTATTCATCTCCTCTATCTCACTAAATGAATGCTGCAAGCTCACAAATCCTTTACTTGAACTTTCCTCTTCAACTAACCCTTTTCCCTTCACCTTGACACGCTCGTCAAATTCTCCATCTCCCGAAAAATCGCTACTTTCATCGTCCTCACAACTCGTGCTTTCGCCGCTAGGCGTGTGAAATATCGTGACACTCTCTTTCTTGGAACCTTGGAACGAGAAGCTTCTAGACTTTTTGTCGTGTAATGGAAGTAGAGAATTCGAACGTGATCTTTCCTTGTCACGTCCTAAACTGTACACGGTCGATAGCTTTCTTCTTACGCCTTCTCTTTCCTTAACCAAATCACTTAACTTTTCGAATAACTCTAAGTTAGACACTCTTTCGTCCGAAGCTCTTGCTTTCTGTTCGAGCTCCTTTATCATTTTGTCGAACGCCTTCTTTTGAAATCTTAGAGAACGCTGTGCGAAATTATAAACAAAGAATGAAAAGAAAATTTATAAAAAATAAAAAATAAATAAAGAATTGTGGTTTATTACTATAACTATTTCAAACGTTACCCGTTTTTCAAGAAACTTTCCGAGCTCGAGTCCTCGAAGCTTTTTCTTCTTCCAGAAGATGCAGCAATACCACACAACAGCTGCTAAAATTACCAAAACTACGGACTCGATTATGAGGAACATAACAATGGTCCTCTGATTACCTGCATAAAATATATATATAAAAAAAAAAAAAGAAAAATATGAGCATTGACTTCATAATTTTCATAACAAACATAACCGAAAAACCAGAATTCGTGCAAATTTTACGTTACCTGTGTAGATACTTATGCTCTCAGGCTTCACCTGTGAGCAGCTAGATTTAAGTTTAACGCCTGCAACAAAGCAAAAACTTTTACAAATGGACTCAGTTTAATTTTATCTAAATAAGTCGAAAGATTGGTTGAGAGCATTACGCGTTGAACGGCATGGGAATTGAGTTCCAATTCCTGCATTATGAAAAAAAGTCGGTCTAATGATTAATTTGCAGCGGCTACTAGGAAAAGAAATAAAAAAAAAAAAAAATGAGTATTTTGTAAGTTTGCAGTATAGTGCGATTTGAAAGAGACCAACTTACTTGAAGCAGCAAAGAAAGCCAAAAGGGTTGGTTCATCGACTACAAAATGTTTAAGATCACTCTGTGACAGGTTGAACAAGAGTTTTCCTGCTTATTTCAGAACATAAATTGTGTCAACTGTTAAATACAAAGGATTTATATTATAAATCAGATGAAAACAATAGAGTAGAACGGTAAATATTGAAGAAATTGCAAATCGTGCTATTCTTGAAAGAGCGAAAAAATGCACAATCGTGCACTACAGAGTTAATCAAATTGGAATTACCAGGATTATTTTCCGACCGGTAAATCGTGCCAGAAGCTGGCTCAAGAAGAGTAAATTCGGCACTTTTCGGTTTCAATGCCGATACATAATCGTGCTCGTTAATTGCCTGTGACATTTTCCCTTCCATTTCTGTTTGAGAAATGTACACTCCATACCCAGAGCAATCGAGTATCGGTTCAACTTGAATAACCGAGTTCAAACTTACTGATTTCGGGAACTTTTTGAGAAGTCCTTTAGGCGAAAACGAATAAAGAAATCCATCCAACGAGCCGTATGAAACCCAACCTGCTTCATCAATACGAACAAAAATAAGTAAAAAAGAAAAAAAAAACTTATATAAATAATTTTATCATTACCACTAGCATCAACAACTGGCTCGTAATCTGATGAGCTTAAAGGCCCGATACTTCCTTGCCAAAGTAAATTCCCCATAAAAACATCTAACGCTAAGACAAGAGGAGATTTATTTGAAATAGTGACATACAATTGACCGTTATTTCCTGTAGTAACTTTAAACGTGCCCCCATACGAACTTAAATCTCGAATCCATTTAAAGTAAGGCCCACGAACAGATAACGAATATAGTTCCCCCACAGTATTAGAAATCTGCCAAAAACGAAAGGTAAAGTGAGTATTGAAAAAATATAATCGAAGAACAAAAAACAGATGAGTAAAACTATAGAAGCTTACGAATATACTAGCTTCACAATGATCGATCACGGGTTTTGAAGTAAAATAACACTCTGTGATGTTTTTACTGCAACCTTGTCGATACCCGTTTTGATAAAGCACTGGGCCAGCACTCCATATAAGTTGACCGGTCAACCTTAACGCGAAAAGCCCTCGATTTTTAACATTAACGAGCAAACATGAGCTTGATATGCTTGCAGAAAGTCCCGTTATTTCGTTCGGACCTTCTTTACCTTGCGCGGGACCGAAAAAAACTTCGACTGGAGCTTCAGAAGTTCCAATCCTCAGAGTAGAGATTTTTAGTACCCTTTGCTCTGCAACTACATATATCTGCCGAAAACTGATGTTTTCGTCAAAATATTTGAGCAAAAATATGATTAAAAATTTAAAATAAATGACTTACCTTGCTAGAGCCTCCATGAACTGGAGCTATGTTTGCATTGCACGAGTAGTTTAAGTATACTTTCCATGCAATAGTACCGTTACTTTCGAAGGAAAAGAAGTCTTTGCCCGAACAAGCATAAACTCGCTCGTCATCTCCAATGAAGTTCTTGAAAAGTCTGTAAGTGCCAGTTTTTTGGTATGGATCAACAGCTGAACCTAAAGAGCTCAAGAGATTGATAATAAGTTAGATAAATTACAAATATGATACTCTTTTTTCTAGCTTTTGGCTTACATAAGTTTTCATACACCATAAATCTAATACAAACATTCAAATATTGAATCAGAAATCGAAAATACATAGTTCTTCTTGTACTGAAAATTAACTGCCTTGATGGTGTTTTCAAAGTGCGGTAAATATAGATTATTTTAGCCAAATTTCTGGTCGAAATTATACAGCCATTATTTATTCCATGGATGAAATTAAACAATTTGAATGCAACAGTTTTTCAAATAATCAATTTCAGAAAATACTAGAATAACCTAAATTTATTTCCTATCTAGTCTGTTATTTGTGTGTTCTTTTGATGTTGATAGCTCGGTTTATGCTAATAGTTGTACTTGTATGGCCTTAGATGCTGTAATGTCGAGATGTAGCCGTGATTGGCAGGTTTGATTAAGCTAGGCAGTGTTGTTAGGCCTAGTTTGGATGTGTGATCAGTGGATCACCGGTTTCTTGGACTATGTATCTTCATTTGAGTGCTATTTGATCTATCGTTTGAGAAAAAAAAAAAAAAAAAAAAAAAA